ATTTTTGATCGCTGAGAATGCTTTGCTAGCAAGGTTACCAGCAGCGTCTATACATTTCTCACGAACAACTTCAATAGCTTTAATACCCAGCTGCTTTGCAATAGGTATTGCTTTTGGGGCTATTCTTCTAAATAGACCCTGAACAATATTGCCTAGTCCATCTCCGTAGGTTGCTTTGTATACTAGTAATCGATAGTTTATTACCCTAACCTTGGTAGGTCCACGTTGAACACCCTGCATAATCATTTTATTATTAACTGACTTTATCACTAATTGTATCTAATCACTGTGACTTAGTCACTATAATAATCATCGGCAATTTCATTAATGAAAGACTGATACACATTAATATCCATAATACCGCCACTAAATAATCTTTTGCAAATATCTGCTGCTTCATTAATAATTTCTGGGGAATTATTACCAGCTCGTTTTCCTCCAATCAGAATTTCTAGTCGTTCAACATCAGCAAGAACATTATTGGGACAAGTAATAATATCACTTCCTAGACCACTTCCAGTTGCACCAGGAGCGTCTTGAAATTCTTCTTCTGCTGTTCTAACAGGTTGTCGCAATGATTGCAATCGTTTCATTGTTTCTTGTCGTTCTTGTTCTCGTTGTTGAAGCTCTTGTTGTAGTCTTTGTGATCGTTGTGTTGTTGATGATGATTGTAATTGAAATGGTTTTGGTTCTTTTTGATGTTCTTGTAGTTTTTGCTGCTTTATCAATTGCTGTTGTTGTTCTGGAGGTAATTGCATGAAAGCAATATATATATATATATATATATATATATATATATATATATATATATATATATATATATATATATATATATATATATATATATATATATATATATATATATATATTTCATGAGTATACCCAATATATCTCAGATAGTCGTTTCAAGCTTGATAAACGTTATAGTGTGTGCGAAATATCCATTCATACAAATCTTCGCGACCTACAGCATTATCAGCATATTCAGGTTTTAAATATTGTTCTCGATATTTATAACTTCTTACAGCACTAGCAGCTAATTGTTTTACATTTTTGATCTGTCTGATATCATTAATGGCATCTTCGGTAAATTTCTCATTTATATTAACCCTACCTCGCGTTTGTCCTAGTACTTGTTGAGTATCACCTTCTGCCTGGTCTGTATCCTCGGGTTTTTCGGGAATTGGCATCGCAGCAGCTATTTCTTCTGGAAGTTCTTCAAGAATCTTTTTTGTTTTCTTAGTTCAGTTTGCTATTTTTTTCAGTTTGTTTCTGCTGTTGTTTTCTAACACAGGTTGAATATCTTTAGTGGTCTCAGTGATAGGTTTAAATAATTGTTTTGTATCCTCCTCAAAATCAACTTGAGATTCCTGATGCGATTGTAGTTGCTTAACAGAATCACGAACAGGTAGATATTTTTTAATTGCCTCTAGTCATTCTCGAGCTAATTTAGCTGAGTGTGGTTCTCCAATACTCATTATCAATAATATTTATAATGGCTGTTAATTCATAGCAGCAGAGAGGGTGAAGGACAACAATTGAGTCGCTTTACGAGTAAACAAAATCGCCTTACAAAATCATAAAAATACGTCAACCAAAATAAGCTAACCAAAGATTTTATTATACGATTAAATACATAATCGTGTGGAAATAGAAAAGTTAGAGACTTTGGTTTAGCGCTGTTGACGTTTTTTTTTCTCAGCCTCTGCAGGAACTTTTATTTTTTTTAAATAAACGTTTTAGGCAAAGTTGTCTGTTCACCCTCTCTGCTGCTCTATAAATGACCCATTAACAGTAAAATATCGCTTGTCCTTTTGTTAATATTACGATACAATTTAAAATTTTAGTGATTTTATAGATACATAAAAGTCTACAAAAACATGTGATTACATAACAATAGATTTTTTGGGCAGTAGCATATTTTAAAACTGTCAAACGTTGTCAATTTCAGACTATACATTTCTTGAGAAAGGTGTGCTCAAAAATGTTAAAATAAAGGCTGCCAGAATCGTAACTAATACGCAAAGATTATTAACTATTGAGTTTGATATCGAGAAAAATAAGACTGGGAAGTCATGGATTCAGACTACAGAAACACAAACTTACATTTATATGCAAAATGGCAACTGGTTCAGTGCTTTTTTAATGATAATAATCTCCGACTGCACGAACTGTACTTGACATAAATTATAACGTAAATAGCTTCCAATCAATACAAGCTGGAGTAAGAGTCTTTACTGCAACTTTTTCTTTCTTTAGACATCCAACAAAGAAACACAATATCTATCACTCGTTAAAGAGACTCCATTAATAAAAGGATCATTTAACAATCATGTTCCCAGACACTGTTTTTAGTTAGAAGAAAATATCAAATTTTTCCTCCTCGACTTAATATCAATTGCATCTCAATTATTGAACAATCATTTAAAAAGTATTTAATTGGATCACCTCTGTATTGATGATTACTTGAAGAAAGAACTCAACACGTATTTTTCAATTTCGAATATTCCCCAGAACAACGTAATATTCCAAACCTTACTCCGTATGGTAATTTAACTTTAAATATCTAAATTATGGTGATACATTGCTTCCATATGATATTAGCATTCGTGTTTTCAGGTCAGCCAAAATTTGTTTGACAATTATGTCCGCAGAAATTCGAATAACAAACCTTTCGCTCAGAAATCAGATCACAAAACAAATGATATTTGTTTTTGTTAAACTGACTTTTCAACTAACTGTTTATCTGTGTTATGGCACCATTTTGACAACCTAAATTGTTTCATAGAAGGATAGAAAGAATGTTATTCCATGTGTATAAAGCAATGCTGAAATTCATATCTCATTATGATTTTGGTCTTCATTTCTTATATGTGTTAAACATATTTGAAAATGATTTATACCGTAGAAACTTATTAATCGTTAACCCAGCATATACAACTGTCTTTTTTTCTAGAAAGACATGTCTGAGAGCCTAAGTGGTTAGAATGTTCGCTTCGCATGCGTGCGTTCACGGGTTCGAACCCCCGACAAGTCATTCCAAAGACTTATAAAAATGGTACTTGCTGCTGTCTCGCTACGCGCTCAGCATTAAGAGTGTTTAGTGTTAGGACTTGTCGGCATGGTTTCAGGATAATATGACTGGGTCTGACTTCATGCCACATGTCTGTAGCATGATTCCCCAATGCTATGTCACTCTAAATTGCCACATTGTAGACATCGTAGCGTAATGGCTGAAAATTGTTAAAGCTACTTTAAAAATCGAAATCACACACACACACACACACACACATTTCTAGAAAAAATGCGTGTTCTTTAAGCAGTTATCACAAGAATTCTAATGCTGTATTTGTTTCTTTGATTTTCTTTAGGAGTTGGCTTGACCTGGCATACATTCTAATATCGTTCTGCTGTGCCGTTCATCCTCATGGCGTTTTACTAGCAAGGGTCCGTCTCTTTGTTAGTGAGATTATGTTCATTTATTATGCAAATAAAGATCGTACTGTCTTAATTATCTAAGTATTATATTATGTTTTCTTGTACCTTCTGTGTCTCACACGAAATGGTATCAATTTAACAAATGTCCTCGTATGTAGGGGGATTACCGCATGCATGTTCTAATCTTTCTTGATGCACTATTGTAGATTTTCATAATTATATCCATGTATATTCCATTCTTCATTGATGCAAATTATACGTGGCAGTTTGCAAGTGCTACTTTCCTTCTGCATCATTGAAATGGGTGCTTAAGTGCTACATTCATAATTCTAGTCATGAATTTTCCATTCTTCGTTGATACAAGATTAAATGGCTGCTAGCAGGTGCTTATATCTACTTTCCTTCTTCGTCATTGTATCTTGCAATTTTTCAGCTACTGAATTGATTCTTTAGTTTCTCGTATGGCATATGCTATGACATTTATAACAAGTTTTAATATTCTGTTTATAAATTTGTTATATCATAAGTTACACTGATCGCACCTTCTAAAATCATGATTATAATGTAGCTTCAAGCACGTTGCAAGTTAGCATCATGGAAGTCAGCATTATGGAATGCCTCATGATAAAAGATGGCGCAGTGACACATCAATTTCTTAAATAGGACTACTACCCTGGGCCCAGTAACAAGATGTTATATCATTTTAAGGGAAATATATGTTGGCTATGGCTCATAGATTTCTAGGTGAATACAAATATTTTTAGTATCCACAACAAGTTGATATAGGCTGGTTGAGACACATTACATCTAAAGGTTTTATTCATGTGCTTTATTTGTTTGTTTTGTTGTTTTGTCTATGTTTTTTATACGCCTTTGAAAGACGCTCATTAAGAGTCGAAAGCGTTCCGGCTAGTTAGATCTTAGTCTTACACTGTTCGTCCTCAATTATTTATTGCATCTATCTCAGTCACTGACACTCGTGATCCCTTTCTGGATCAAGTGCGCTTGAAAGGGCTTTTATTCGCCACATTATATATATATATATATATATATATATATATATATATATATATATATATATATATATATATATATATATATATATATATATATATATATATATATGTAATTAAACTGCTTCTGTGTTAGTTTTAAATATATTTTATTTCATTATATTTCATTATATTTATTGTAATGATATATTTCATTGGTGTGGTGTGATGTGATGTGATGAGATGTGATGAGATGTGATGTGATGTGATGTGATGTGATGTGATGTGATGTGATGTGATGTGATGTGATGTGATGTGATGTGATGTGATGTGATGTGATTATGATTTTTAACGTAGCTTTAACAATTTTTGAGTCATATCGCTACGATGTCTGCAGTGTGGCAGTTTATAGTGATGTCTAGCACTGGGGCTTCATGCCGCAGACATGTAGCATGCTGTCACAAACAGTCACATTATCCTGACACCAGGCTGACCAGTCCTAATACTAACCTCTTAATACTGAGCGTCAAGCAAGGCAGCTGTTATAACCATATTTGTAAGTCTTTGGTATGACTCGATCGGGGATCGAACCCACGACCTCCCGCATCCGAGGCGGACGCACTAGCCACTATGATTTGAATCTCTTTTCGGAAAATTCACTGGACAAGATTAGAATGTAACAGTTACTTTATCATTATTTTTTATTCTCCTTGATTGAGACATTGGTAAATATTGAATAGAAATTATTGGATATTACCAAGGTCATGTTCGGCCCATGTGTTACCCATGTTGTAAAAGTTTTTTTTTTTATTTTTCATATCTATGAATATGATCTTTCAGATACAGCTATTCTAGCTTACGTGATATATGGCATTATTTAAATTGCGCTGCTCAAATTAGTGATCACGTAGACCGTCACGTGATCTATCATTTGATCTATAATTGCGTCTTTAAACAGCCATTTTCTAGTAGATTTTTCAACCGTATTCCTACACCTTAAAGCTCAAGGTGTTTTTAATTCTTGATATCAGTTTGTTCTGACGTTCATCTATTTTTGTGGGATTTAATAGTTCAAATTCTTTGTGAAACACAATAAGTGCTTTTCTTTATAAACATACTGAGAGAAAACCATTTAGTGGAGATTTATTCTAAAATTCGAAACAAAACATAATTTGTGTTGCAAAGAGAAACTTTTGCTATCAGTATAACGACCTCGTCTGACGTCATCGCATTCCATTTTGAACTTCAACAAGATTCTAACCTGTATTAAAACTAAAACTTTTAGTGATATGACTTTTTTCGATACTAAGATTATTTTTTGGATGATATTTACTAACCGTAAATCTTATTTCATATTTGTATCTTGTTTTATAGGGAAATAATGATTTGTGCAAAACTTACAAAGCTTGTTGACTTCAATTTTTTTTTACCTTTGTACAAACCTACACGTAGCATTAATATATATTATTGAATTATCATAAAAATAGAAAGTAACTATATATATATATATATATATATATATATATATATATATATATATATATATATATATATATATATATATATAAAGAATACAAATCATATGGCGAATAACAACCCTTTCAAGCGTACTGGATCCACCAAGGGATCACGTGTGTCAGGGATTGATTAAAATAGATGCAATAAACTGACGACGAACAGTACGAAACTAGTAACTAACTAGCCTAAGCGCTTTCGACTCTTAATGAGTCTTTTTCAAAGGCAAATACAAAACATACATACGACAAACAAATAAACACAAAAACGTTGTGTTTGTAAACCTCTACATGGCTGTCTCCACATGTGGTAAAACTATAAATACAACCAGCTTGTATAGACTAGTTGCGGAAACTGAAAACGGTGTATAATTCCCTAAAAGTCTACAAGCCAAAGCGACATCTATTTTTACTTTTTGTACATTTATGTAACGCAGATTATATCCCGGATATTTGATTCTATACCGGTTATTCTTATAGTAAAAATTGAAGGATAATAAGAAGATTTAGAAAATATTAAAATCTACTAGTGCATAGTTTTCATTTTCTAGTCTTCTTGGTTCAGACCGCTTGGTTTCAATGTTCTAAGGCGGCGTATCCAGTATGATTCCTTTTCCTTCCTGGCTTCGGAACTCCAGCTGTGGTTGTTAGCAATAGCGATAAGTATTATATCACTGAAAGTGTGGCCAGGGGAGGAGAAGTGTTCTGCGACCGGGCTCCTGTACAGCTTTTTTGTCATCCAATCAGATCTATGAAGGTTTGTCCTTTTGTGTAGCTTTTCAGTTTCTCTCTCTCTCTCTCTCTCTCTCTCTCTCTCTCTCTCTCTCTATATATATATATATATAAATATAACTATATATATATATATATATATATATATATATATATATATATATATATATATATATATATATATATATATATATATATATATATATATATAGTAACTTTCTATTTTTATGATAATTCAATAAGTTGGTCATTGGGTCCTGAATCAAGTAATTAATTAATTATTTAACAGGTACTTAGTCAATAGTTAATTAATTAGATTAGATTAGATTAGATTAGATTAGATTAGATTAGATTAGATTAGATTAGATTTGATTAGATAAATGAAAGTTAGAAAGAATTGAAGAGCAACAATGTAAAATAATGAATGAATCAATCAATCAATTATCTTCTGGAGCCTCAAAAGGTTTAGTGGTCTAAGGCGCACGTCTTTACCTATCGCCGGCAATTAACATTACCACTGATTCGAGTGTGAAGCTCGGCCAACTTGGCTATGTGAGAAACCTTAACTGTAGCTTCTCGTTTAATTATCATTCTTCCCAGAGGTTTCCCGCGAGTTAAGCTGGCCGTCATCATGTTATATATATATATATATATATATATATATATATATATATATATATATATATATATATATATATATATATATATATATATATATATATATATATATATATATATATATATATATATATATATATACGACCCTGTAGTTTAAGTGTGTTAAGGAAACAATTATTAATAAATTTTTATATTTCATTTTTATTTCATTAAATGTAAATATTAACATGATATTAATAACATTCTAATATGTTGATAAAACATCGTATGTCCTAGAGTCGTAAATGTGACTCATGTGATCACGTGCGGTGTATGATGATCTATTCATTACCAGTAAAAATTCAGGAATAGCTATGAAAACGATTGGCTGATACTTGGTCATGGTTTCCCCCAATGTTTCCCCCAATGTCCAGAAATATTGCAAAATTGCATGCGTCCTTCGTGCGGGTGTAATTCAAACGACGTATTTTCTTGTTTATATGCTGATGAATTATGTAAGACAGATGGTCGACAGTTTAGAGTCAATTACATACTCGGAATTTATTGTAACATCTTAAGAGTTACACAATTTTTATAACCTTCAAAAGGAATTTCTGTGCTAGAAGTGTGTTCTTTTGTCTACGTAGAACAACATGTATGTTTGTTAGTGGAGCTAATAGTACTTCGTTTTGCTAAATAATTGTTTTCCTGGAGAACAACATTACTGGTTTGGACAGAGACATTTTCCGAAAATATTCTAAATTGGAACGGAACAATACAAACTACTTTACTGTGTAAATGCTGGATTTTTCTGTTAGCCTTCGTTTGACGTCATCATCCTCCATTTTGAACCGGAACTGAACCTCAGACTATGTTTAGAGCTTTTTACAAGACTTATGTTTATCTTAAGAACAAACAATTTGGATCATTTCCGTAAAGCGTAAATCTTGTTTTACATAATTACATTTTTTCATGTTTTCTAGGAAAATAAATTATTTTTGTTAAAATTTACAAAGCTTGGCTTCACACTTTCTTTATTTTACTTCGAACGAGCCGATACGTAACAATATGTATGTATGTATGTATGTATGTATGTATGTATGTATGTATGTATGTATGTATGTATGTATGTATGTATGTATGTATGTATGTCTATCTGTATGTATGTCTGTCTATCTGCATTCTGGCCGTCAGGTAAAGACGATCATGTGCTGAATAATTGCATTAATCGTATGTATTAATGTATGTATGCATGCATTGCATGCATACTGGCCGTCATGTGTAGACGATCAGGTGTTGAATAATCGCGTTATGCCCACAACAACATCAACAACCCCTATCCAGAGTCGTAGCAAGGCCATATGTCGCCCACGGCAAGAACTAAAATTGCACCCTATCAAAGCTTTGAAAGTATAAAAAAAAACTTTTTCCGTTCACCGATTTTGTGGCTCCTTGAAGTAGCGCCCACGGCACGTTAAAGAGGTTTGAGTCTAACCTTTATCTATTGTGCATATTTGGTATATTTAATATAAACAACAGATGGATTAGACATCATTCATTTAATTGTAGTTGTTTCATTACAGTATTCAGGCCATATGTCGACATAAGCGAATTATGATGTAACAAGCAAAGAAGAAATACAAAGACTTCTTATAGAATTACAAACATAGTCGCCTACTTCGAAAATCGTGACATATATAATACTTAAAAGCAATTGCTTACAACATTAACTTTTAAACAATACATTTTTAAATATGTGAAAAAGTTAACTTTGTATAACACTTGCTACTGAAATTGATTTTAAAAAATCTTTTCCTTTGGTGGGAAATGACTTGGGGGAGAAAGTCCTATTTGATGGTGGGGTAGTCCAGGCCGAAATGTCCGGGGAGAAATGTCGGAGGGAATCGGGGGAATGAATGCCCGGGGGAGGGAAGATGTCCTAGACTCAGGATTAATGTCGACCCCGGCAGTACGCGTAGCATTGATGACGACCTTGGCAGTATGCGTAGTATTAACTTAGACAATGTTAGTATATGTATCATTAATCCATACTGTGTCAGTATATCTAATATGTAGCATTAATGTCAACCCTGACAGTACGGGTATATATATATATATATATATATATATATATATATATATATATATATATATATATATATATATATATATATATATATATATATATATATAAGATTATATATATATATGATTATATATATATATATATATATATATATATATATATATATATATATACTGATATATATAATTTTCAATCAATTATTTTATGATACCTAAAAATTATGAATTATCTGCTATTAACTACTCATGGCAAGTATATACATCAAGGATATTTCTTTGTTTATACTCCATATCAAGGAGTAAAACGTTTCGCCATTAATTCTTGTGTGATACATGACATAACTGATTGGTTCCTTCCAGAGAGTTCCTGTGCAAAATTCTGTCAGAGCTTAAACGACCATAAATCGACTTCAGCGCATCATGTTTTTAAAGCGTCCAATGTCATGTTATTACTTTGTTCATCAGCTAATATATCAAGGCTTAAAGGATAATCGGTCAACTTCATCACACCCTGTTTTTAAAGCTTGCAATGCCACATCGTTACTTTGTTCAGCTACTAATGCATAATGTTTCCTTTGTTCAAGAAGGCAACGTTTGTCCCATGACCAGTCATTATATTCGAAATAGTAAAGTTCTCTTTGCAGACCACTCCTATTCAAGTGTTTACACTTGTTAGGACAAAGGTCAAAACCACCAGAAAAACAAATTCCCGTT